TACCTGCTCAGCACCAAATGACAGGCAAACAGTTATTATTAACTATCTTTACTGGCTAATTAGCTTTTAGCAACAAAATAGCCAGATCTTTCCATTAGGAGTTGGTAGAGACAAAACACAGAGCTAGAANNAAAAAAATCAGTTATTGCACATTTTTTATTAGTGTTTCACACAATAATATTTATGTTTTTAAACTGAACAGAGAAATTGGCCTGTGTGCCATCTTCTTCTGAATGCATCAGGACACTTTGGCCACCAAACTAACGGATGATGAAATGAACGTTTGAATGCCTCTCTCTGTTTTCTCCGCAGTCTGTATCAGGACGGTTCAGGCCGGCAGTGCTTGTTGATAGAGCGGGTGATGAAGTCGGATGCTGGTTGGTACACTCTGTCTGCCATAAATGAAGCTGGCATGTCCACATGCAACGCCAGGCTGGATGTAGGCAGTAAGTCCACTGTGTGTTTATCTTCTGATGCAAATTTGCTCAAAAGGGCCCATCTCCGCTATCTGTTGTACGAGATAGCCCGGTAGTTGCCATAGTAGCCCAGGCTGTAAAATCAAACAGCAGATGGAGAATGATGCGCGCTCAACGCTACAGTGAATCCAGCTCTACAGCCTGGAGCACGTCAAACAAATGCTGTGTTATGTGATCGAGCAGAAACTTGATGAACTCATGAGGCGTGGAGCCGTTCAGCTTTCCTCAAGAATACAACTTAATCACCGAGTCAGAGAGATAAGTCTGGAGTCCATCCACTGATGAGAGAGAGCTCAGCGGAGGAAAATACAGCACAGCTATCAGGTTTCTGCTCGATCACGTAACACACCATCTGCTCTGTGGAGAGGGAGCTGAGGGACAAAGAAAAACTACCTGACCCTCTCTCACACCTGAGCTGGACTGTAGATCTTATTAGCAAACCTGAACGTGAGTTTAGACCACTTCATCTGAACCAGGACTCAGTGGAGACACTGCAGTTGGACAGGACCTCACAACAGTGCAACAAAGAGGTT